CAGGACGGGCGCCGGGGCCTCGCGCGCGCTCGCCGGCTCGACCTCCCGCTTCACGCGCACCGGGCTGCCCCGGGAGATCGGCGCTTCGGGCTCCCGCTCCCGATCTCGCTCCCGCTTGACGCGACCCGAGCTGACCCGGGACTCGGATTCCCGCTTCCCGCGGGTGGAACTACGCGACTCCCGCTTGGACCGGCCGGACATGGCCACAGCCGGTAGCGTCCCGCTGCGCAGCGGCCACTCCGGAGCGCGCGACAAACGGCCAATCAGGAGCAGCGCTGTTCCCAGCCCAAAGCTCTCTACGAGTCGCCGATGGGGACAAATCAAGCCACAGAAAACTAGGCAGTCCTGCGCCTCCTTGCGGCCTTTTGGCGGCTGCGTGCGCAGGTGAGAACGGTCCGCGGGCCTACTGCCACCATACCCGAAATTTCCAGCTTAAAGAGGCTGGAACTTTTTTACTGGCTGTGGAATTTCTGGATAAAAGAAGCCGTCCTTGAGTTCCAGATTTCTTCAAGATACTTTGCGCCCCGAACCAAAAATTGGGGGGTCGTCTCCACGCTTCGGAGACCGACGCCCCTGCACAGAACTAGGCAACACCCCTCAATCATCCCCACATCATCCCCTGTCTGCAGCAACCCCGAGTCTAATTCCACATTGAGAAGGTTATTCTTATCACACGAAAATGCAAACGTGGAACAGAGGGGACTCACAGTGACGCTAATAAAGCTGAGGCTTCAGGACCCGTGATTTCACGACTCGGAACTACATTCTTTGTACGGTTCTCCTGCAGTGTGTTGACATACAATAAACCGCATATTTAAGGCGATGCAATTGTCTCGGAACTGCCGGGTGGAGGTACACACGCCGAAACTGAAACTGGACAAGTTTCCTGCTGCCTGTCACTCCCAGAACCAGTAATAAGTAGAGACAAGGGTTGAATCTTTCTGGGCGCTTTATTCAGACGCCCAGCGATCTGAGAAGGTGCGTTATGTACCCTAAAAAGACCCTCTTACGTCTCATCTCAAGCCAACCCCTTTTTATAAGGAGACGGAAAGGGTAAGTCAAGGGTTTGGAATTCAGGTGAAAGCAGTTAAGGCGTTTGGAATTCAGGGGAAAAGGTTCATCAGATAAAATCTGCAGTCGGTGAGTTTCGAGCATCCTTTCATCTCCTGACTCGTGATTCTTTATCTGCATCCTGGGCGCCGGCCTTCTCTCCCTGGAGCCCAACTGCTCAGCTACCCTCCGGGTCGCTCGCCGTCCTCCTGCGGCACGAAGGTGGGACTGCTTGCTGGTCTCCTCAAGTCAGGGCATGTCCAGTCATGCATTCCAGCCATGGGACAATAGCTTTCTACATGCATTTAATCACCAAGCCTATTAACTACGTAACTAAGGCTAAAAAAAAAAAAAAAAAAAAAAAAAAAA